TACCGGAAGCCAGTGAAGGGAGCGGAGGAGCGGAGTGGTGTGGGAGAATTTAGGAAGGTTGAAAACCAGACGAGCCGCTGCATTCTGGATGAGCTGCAGAGGTCGGATGGCACATGCAGGTAGACCAGCCAGGAGGGAGTTGCAGTAGTCTAGGCGTGAGATGACGAGAGCCTGGACCAGAACCTGAGTCGCTTTCTGAAACAGCTGGGGACGTATCTTCCTGATGTTGTAAAGCGTGTATCTGCAGCAACGGGTTGTAGCAGCGATGTTTGCAGTGAAGGACAGGTTGTTATCTAGGGTCACACCCAGATTCCTTGCAGTCTGAGTCGGGGAAACAACTGAGGTGCCGATGTTGATTGTCAGGTCAAGAGTTGGACAATCTTTTCCCGGGAGGAAGAGCAGCTCAGTCTTGTCAAGGTTGAGCTTGAGGTGGTGAGCAGACATCCACTGAGAGATGTCAGCTAGACAAGCAGAGATGCGTGCGACGACCTGGGTCTCTGAGCGGGGAAAGGACAGAATTAATTGGGTGTCGTCAGCGTAGCAGTGGTAAGAAAAACACATCTTCTGTGTCACATCACATACACAGAAGTTCTGCTGTTTGGAATACTGTAATTTAAGGACATTCAAACAGATACGCTTGTATAGCCTTTCTCAGCTCTCTCAATGTATTATCTTATATTATAACTACATAAAATAGTGTTAGTAGAACATTGAACAGCTTAACATAGATGTAGGGTACAAAACCAGAACTTACCTAACACTGGCCAATACAAATAATTGGACCCTACATGGATTATACTAACCATTCAGTAAAGAACAGCAGACGTCACAACCAGTTTCTGGGGTTTCCATGAAAGCAGAGACGGTTTTCAACCTCTCATTAAGAATCTTTGATGAAAGCCAAGTTTGGGTTTAGCTAATGTATTTATCATTTTACACGAGAGGGTTACAAAACGAAAATAAATCTGTAGCCCCTTCATGCTACACACACATAGCTAGCTACCAGTTGATGTGAGCACATGTATTGTCACTATGTAATCTGTTGCAACCATAGTTGCAACACGTCAGCTAGCTGGGCTTATTTGAATCCTAAATCACAGGTTACCTACTCTTGCCACATCAAAACCCCAGAACATGAACCTGATTGAGGCTTTGAACCGATTAACACTTTTTATTTTCCTCCCGACTCTGAGATCGTGAGGCTTTTCATGCTTTCTCATGGACCTGTAACAGCTAGCCCTGATGCTCACTCTCCCTGAAGGTAGATCTTTGTTTGAAACTGTGGAGAATTGGATATCATTCATGTTATCCAAAAAAACGTAATAGTACATCATTAAAACGCTTTACACTGTATCAAGACTGTCAATTTGTCAAAGTTAGCCAGTAACTACAGCTTTGTTTGTCACTTACCTTCATAATTGTCGACGTAGCTGATTATGTAGCTACATCTTGAACCCCTTTTCTCTTTTGCTCCTCGGGGCTGAGCCTGCCGCTTGTACCAGCCGATGTACATCACTGATGTTAACCTTCGGTAGGTCTTGGAGACATCAAGTGTAAAATAGTGCCTATATAATATCTATACGCTATCTATCGCTCTTCCCTCTACCGCTCTACTGTAGACCGGAAGTTTACAACCGCACACCCAGCCGCCGGAAGTTGATAGACGCCATATTGTGCAACTAGCCCATTACGTCCACAATGGTAATGTTTACGTGGATTTGAGAACTGCCCATTGATTCTATTGGATGTAATGGTTCAGAAAAAGGTGTAAATCACCCAAATCGACCAATGGGTTCCAGAGATATGGTCCTGCATAAAGTATAAAGAATGCCAGCCAGCGTAAGTACATTACGCAGCAGACTTTACTTGTTGTTTACTACGGAAGGAAGCAGGAATTGTAGGACCCAGAGCACACGGAGCACAGAGCGGACAGCAGATAACGGAATTGCAGTTTTATTGCTTATAGATTCTCAGAACATTTCAAAGGGGACACAGCCCCATTGGATATTAACCTATGGATTAACTACATCATTGTTTTTTATCGTTTTAATGCCATTGAAGACCAGTTTAGACCAGACAAAGAGGAAGGTAAGCGATGTTAGCCTAGCGCATGTTAGTACCTAGCGCCACTGGTTTTGATGTACGTTTTTGTTGATAACCTCACAAGTATCTTTCAGTGTTGAGGTGGGCACCGTTAGATTCTGTGTCTTTACGATCATAAACAATGTGTTGGATGTACAGCTAGGATAAGTAATAAGGGAGCTATGAGTGATTTTTGGTGCAGTAATAGGTTAGCATTTTTCGCTCAGGGCTAATTCAGAGGCTCACTGTTAGCATTGTGTTTTTTTTAAAGAAATAAATGAAAAAGATCAGTTGAATGAGTTTTTTCCTGTTATATGGATATAAAATATTCATAGTTTATTAAATATTAAGGTTCCTTAGACGTTGTTTCCTGAAAATGACGCGATTTCGGGTCAGTGGGGCCTAAGAGGATAACAGAGTATGTTTTTTGTTTTTTTGTTTTTCACAACAGTTGTATTTGGATGGAATGAATACCTATAGTGATAATTCAAAGTAATACAATGATTTTTACAGTGAAAAAGTTCAAATGGAACTGATGGTTCCCAAATTACCCAGAGGTGAGTCCGCCTGGACTTTATTTTTCTAAACCTCTCTAAAAAGGTCAAATTCCACTTGTTTTGCATCAATCTTGATACAGGGTACTTATTATATGTTATAGTTGGATTCCTAAAGCTTTTAGTCTACTAACCCATCATTCAAGGGTGGTTTTCACTATAAGTAATGGTTTTTTTTAGGCGGACATTAGAATTTACATGTTTTTACCATGTTCCATCTGAATTTACTTTAAAATAAAAATATCTATATTGATTCTGACACTTCTACATCCAACTCACAGATGTAACCTTGCTTTGAGAGAAAATACTATTAATTTACCCCTTTTAGAAGTGAAGATATAGTCTTTGTTGTGTTAGTGGCATTTTCGAGCCTGAAACCTGAAAAACAGGCTCAGGGCTTAATAATAATAAAATAATATAAGAAGTTAATAACTCTATGAAGGCCTAAAGAGTGTCTGAAAGCTTCACAGAAACTAGGCTTTAGTAAAACCTACTGTATGGTAATAACTGTTGTGTTCTTCACTAATATTCATCTGAAGATTAAATACATGACTGCAGAACCTGGTTACAGTATGCAAATCACATGTGAGACCAGTTTTTTCTGGTGTGTATTGTATACACTATGTTTAAATACATGTAGCATCTTGCAGCATATCATTGAGATAATCCGTTGCCACTGATTCAAATACTTATAAAACGATAACAAATAATGTATTCTATCTAATCATGGCAGGAATCTGAAGCTTTTTTATGCTTTTTTCATGTTCAGTTAAAAAGATATGGCCAAGACAAACTAGAAATCTCTCATGGAAAAAAGATCCTGGTTAGTTTTGTTGTAGAGTTACCTTTTACAATGTAAGATTATTTAAATAATTTACTTCAGCTTTCAAGAAATGATCGTGCATGACCAGTTTATCTGTAGATTAGTCTGGCTCCTGGATTAGTTGTCCGGATTACTTGCAGCCTAATGAATGACAAAATGCAAGGAGATAATGAAGTGCAATTATAATGAACCCGCGGAAGAGGATTTAGTCATGATATTGAAATAGACAATGGTTAGTATATGTCACTGTTTATTAAAAAAATAGGCAATTAAGACTCCCTGCATGTATTTTCTAAGAACATTTTAAAACATGTCTCTGCATATTTCACACCTGCCTTGCTTAATTCTGTGCTGCAACAAAAATAATATCCTACCTTCAGAAAGTCAAGGAGTAAATATGAACAGATACCTCAAAGAAACAGGCTTTTACCTGCAAACTGAAGGCAAGTATGCAAAAACAAACACACCAAAAAAAGCATTTTGCACCAACTTTCATTTGCCCTTCCATTTCTGTAATGGCGGAGCTTACCGTTTGTCTTAAGTGACAGATGTGATGGATTGGGCAAAGCTGCCAATTTGTGGTATGAAAATGCACCGGCCGCCTGTCAGCCACCGGTTAGTGAGGAGCAGATGGGTTAAGGGTCTAATCAGGCCAGAACTGAGTTAAGCCGGACTGACAGCAACTGGCAAAGATGAAGCCAGGGTGGGGTTGTAATGTACCAGTGCCTTTATTTCCATGTTTACGTATTATGTGCAGCAACAATAAGACACAGAAAAAGGCAAAATGCTGCAGGGTGAGAGAGGTTTTATTGCCAATGGAATACAGTGTGATTTGTATTCATACTGTTGTAAGAGACAAAGAGGGAGGTAGAGAAAGGGAGGAAAAGACAAGAGGAAATAAATGCACATAATATGGTAGATTATGGGGCTTGAGACGGGGGGGGGGAGACAGAGATCCGTCCCTTGCTGAGATCTAGGGGGGAGGGGTCTCCCTGGTCAGAGAAACCCTTCCTGCAGGGGTCCATTGTCTACAAGCCATTGCTGTGAATAGAAAGCTGATTACAGATAACGAAGCAGTCAGCATTGTAGCATTGTCAGCATTGCAGGGGTGCCTATCATGCCATCATGTCTCCCCCCCTGTTATTTTCAAGTGTTTCCCAGTTTTTCAGAGAAAGAGCTTTTGTTTGCCTTTTAGGTCTGAACTGCAGACTGGAAGTGTTTTTCCTCTCTTCTACATCAAGCCGGATAAAGCAAATCCTCCCTCTCCCCGTCTCCAAATGACTTGTCTATTATTAAAAGCTTTTAAATGGAGCAGTGTGTTGGCTGAATACCAAATCCAATGCCCTGTTGCCAGGGAAACACATACCCTCAGCTCTCCTCTTTTTTTCACTTCCCCAGAGGCTCATATTTCAAAACTGTCAGCAATCTCATGTGCTCACACTGCTGCCTTTCAGCTAAAAGCTTTTTGTGCTCTCTGCCACTGGAGCAGAGTGGAGTGGAAAAAGGAGAGCGGATGGGAGTGGTTAAAGGAGAGGGAGGGAAAATGAAGTGCCTCCCTCGCCGTTGCCTTGGCAACTTGATGTCACGGTGACATCACACACCACTAAAAGCTTTTAACAGGATTCCTCTCCCGCCTTAGGCCCCATTTTGAGTCCTCTTTCAGCTAGGCTAGGGGGAAGGGCACAGGCAGGACCGTGTGTGTGCCTGCATGCATGTATCAATCCCTCACTGCAGATTCAACACGGCTCTTAGCATAGTAAAAGGCTTTCAAATTCAACCTCTAAAGGTCCTCTTTCTGCAAAACAGCCAGCACAGGCTCAGAGAAACCATTTAAAAAATGGCAACAGAGGACGGTTTCAGCTACCTATTGGCAGGTCACAGTGAGAAACACAGACGGGCCCCGAACTGGACCGACGGTGAAATGAAAAGCCCTCCTGTACGTCTGGGAGGAACATCACAACGAACTGAAAATGAGCAAGAGGAACGCCAAGGTTTACGAGAAGATGTCCCAGAGGTTTTTCCAGCTGACCGGAGAGCAACGTTTCAAGGAGGAGATCAAGATGAAAATCACCAACATGTCATTTCAGTACAGGCAAGTGCACCAAAGTTCATTCAAAGTTAGAGTTCAAACTCCAGCTGTTGCATGACTTGTAAACCTCTATTCTTTGTTAACAGGAGACTGAAAACCGTAGCCAATGAAAGTGGGGAGACGCCGGACTGGCCATACTATAAGCCCATCGAGAAGATCCTCTCCAAGCCGCTGGAAAACGGACGTGTGATCTCTTTGGAGTATCAGGGTTCAACTGCAGGCCCGTCCACTTCCTCCCAATCTACAGACATCCTGGTGCCCCAGACAGAGGAGGGAATGATGGGATATCTGCCAGAGTACACAGGCTCCTCAGATGAGATGGAGATAAAACAAGAGCTTGACTCTTTGAGCTCTGACAGTGAGCACACACAAGGCTCCAGGTAACAGGAACTAGTCGAAACGTAGGCCTATGTTGTGCGGGAGTGTGTCTATGTGTCACTGATAAAGTTAATGGCAGGTTGATAAACTACTAGGGATGCTCCGATCGATCGGTCACCGATCGATATCGGCCGATACTCACTCTCTACCGATCGATCGGTGCTCTCTAAACATGCCGATCGCGAGAGCCGATCGCATGACGTAAAATACACGACACTTTTCTCTGTGTGCGGCAAAACAAGCTCGCCAAAATGTCTTCACCGGTCTGGCATTATTTTAAGGTCTCCGAAAAAGACAGTAAAATAGCGGTATGCAACGTGTGTGTGAAGCAGAAATCCTGCAGCTCCGCCCGCCGGACCGGTAAGCGGAGCGAAACACACAAGAGTTAGACCTAACACACCTAGCTATTTTATCTACCTCTGGAACAAGCTAAACTAGTTATTATAAATATATACTTCACTGTCGGGACACTCATTACTAGATCAGTGAGCTGCATGAGATACTGACAGGCTGTCAGGAGAGGGAGAGAGGGGGGAGAGAGAGAGGGAGAGAGGAAAAGAGAGCGCTTCCGCTCATTTCTCCCGTGTTATTATCCAAAGTGAATGTAAACTTGAATAATGTACATCATTTGAATGTAATAATTAAGTTGATTGTTGTTTGTGGAAGCTCCAGAGAATGAGCCCCATTAACTGAGTTTAAACATAACTTTTAATGGAAGATTTAAAGTGATGTTTAAATCTTCCATTTAGGCCCCGCCCACTTGATCGGTATCGGCCGATACTAGGCTTGTTTGAGACGCGTTGCGGCTCGCCTCGAAAGTAGACGAGAATAGCCGATCGCAGCCGTGGGAGGTCTCAAAAAGCTTGCCTGAAGTCGGACAGCTCGGAGTCGGCTTCGTCTTCTTCTCTCGGTTTTTTGGCGGATTGCAAACAACTTTAAGGTGCATACCGCCACCTCCGGAGTCGGCTTGACTCGGTTTGCATTTATAAAGAATGTGTTTAATCGTTAATGTCAGATATGTACTAAGTAAATGCATTTGTTCCTGCTCAAGATTAGATTCAACTTTATTGTTATTGCACAGATTACAGGTAGCCTACTGAGACAACGAAATGCAGTTTAGCTAGTTCTAACCAGGTGCAACAAGCAGTAAAGTGAAAAGTAATGTATACAATAGACAGAATACAATTTAGAATTAATTGAATGATGAATAAACAGTGAGGGGTATGAATACACTAGATATCAGCCTGTGAGCAGTATGAACAGTGTGTATGAATATGCTAAGATATATAAATTATGAAAACGGTAAGCAGTGCAGGTATAGTATACAATATATAGATATTAATTTCATGATGATAAACATTGTGGAACAATGATGAAAAATGGGAATGGATGTGGCGACGTAAAACTGACACAAAACAACAACGAACTTTTGCCGAGCCAATTGGAGAGTTTCATCAGCAGCACGTGGTAAAAACCACCAATGAGCGCTCAGCTCGAGATACCAGCGAGTCGTTTCCCATCAAGCATTTCGCTTCCACAGCCCGTGGAGAGGAACTGCGCCGCCTTGCCGCGCCTCGCTCTCAAGGCTGCGGGCGTCTTTGTCCCGCGAAATTTCAACGTCTCATGTAGGCGAGCCTATAGAGCAAGTCGGACAAAATGACTAACCATCATGCAACGCACTAGCAAGACGTTGATCGCAACTGCGCAGGTCTCGCTTGTCTCAAACAAGCCTACTGATTCCGGCGATCGGCGATCTGCCCCGAAATTGGCAATCGGAGCATCCCTATAAACTACCCTTTGAATCCTATTGGTTCAGGGAGCCGTCCACCAAGTTTTTTCAGTCTGAATTAAGCTGAAAAAATCGCAGCGTAGGGCTACATTTTGTAATGTTGTTAAGTGAGATTCTTTAACAAAAAAGCTCAAACCATCTCCATGACATCTCAACTACTCTTTTTGAAGGCCAAAATATATGACTAAAAGCCTCAGAAATCTTCAAAAAATATGTATGAGACTTTGGAAACCTAATTGCTTTGCAAAACTGCTGATTCCTATGTCCAACTGAGCCTAGCATCTTAAAAATATTTACAACTTCATAAATATTAAATTTTTATGGTAGCTTAATCACAGCAAATCTTGAATTCCTATAGTGTTTATATCCTATGGCAGCTACTCTTACTCTGCTAAAGTAGACTTTAGCTTTTCTTTGGCTATGACTGAATTTAGCTGCTGCCTTATTTACGTAGAATTACAACTTTATTAGTAAGAGTATAGTTAATCTGATTCAGAAAACGGCTGGGCCTTGCTTTAGCATTGTTCAGCTAGCTTTAACTGTATTTTGTTGTTAGGTCAAGTTTTACACACTGTTTTCTTTGATATTACATTTATAAACATACAATGGGAAAGGTGACAACAAGTAAGTACATGTCACTTTAGCCAAGGCAAACTTAGACTTGGTAATTTTCAGCTAGCTTAATCTTTTGTATCTACTGCTTAAGCTTTATGGTTGACTGCTTGGTTTGGTGCTAAGCATTATAGCTAAAGCTTTAAATGCTTTACAATTTGTTCTTTAAAATTATACAAATGCCTATATGACAACAATTAAAACATTTGTTTTACATATAAAACATGTACTTTAGGTGTGTTTATCTTGTTTACCTAGCAGTCTGGCTTTAAAAGGCTACATCAAATAGTTCAATTAGTTTATTTAGTATTTATCATCTTCTAAAATACTTTTGATCTCTGGCTCCACAAGGGAGTTGCTGGGGTAAACAAATGGTCAAATAGAAAGACTAACATTGAGCTCTAGTACTTAGACACTGTCTGCTCTTAACTGTCCATTCTGTGTTCTCCAGCTCTCACCCTACTCCAGCCAGGAAAAAACGCGGCAACAGGCATCTGTCCATGAAGAGAAAGAAATTGCGGGTGATGCAGGCCATGCTACAGCAACAAAAGAAGTCGGGCCGGGCCATAGAGGAGACGTGTCGTGAGGTCCGTCGAGCCGTGAACCAACAGAACCTCATCCAGGTTCAGTGTTTGCAGCTTCAGGAGCGTATGATGAACCTTCTGGAGAAGATGATCCAGCCTTCCACCACTTCAGCACCATAGGGGCATACCGGGGTCAAAGATTCAGTGAAGCCATGAAGTGCCAGCGTTATGGTTGTCTGGAAGAGATCATGGTCTTACTTAACCTATAGCCTTGTTAAAGCAAGAATAAAGCATATTTGTTTTAGATTTCAGTTGGACATGGACATTTTATAGGTTTATTGTGTTGCATACATCAAACTGTAGGTCTGCAAAGTAGGAGACGTATGCTGTTGAATTTTTTTTTTTAGGATGTCATGAGCCTGAAGATGGCTATATTAATAACCATAAAGACATATGACTGTATAACATCTTTCATTCTAGGAATAGCTGTATCAGATTGTTTTGTCTTGATAATTTGTCAAGTACAGTGTTAAAAACACTGTGGGAGCATCAGAGTTGCAAAAACAGACATATCTTGTCACTTCATTTTTCACTGTGCTAGGATAATTACAAGTTGGGAATGCTTGATGCCAAAACAGGGCAATTTGCCACATTTATTAAGTCAATGCATGATTTCTGCTGTTTTTGAAGTGAATCTGTCAGCAAAAGGCAACACAAACAGCAACCCTAGAGTTTATGACAATGACCACAATGGGTTAAGGTATACTTCCTGCATTTCAACTAATATCATTTCCCAAGGTAAATCTTATTTAGATGCAATAAATAAAAATCTGACAAACAACAAAAGTCCACTGACTCATTCTTTATATCCATAAATGTAAGATGTGCGTCACTGTGAGCTAACTGAGATTGGTGCTATTCCTGCAAACTAAATTGGCTGACTAAGAAAACAACATATAACAAATAAGCCACGGTTATCAGCTGTGGGAGGCATTGTGCTTTCAGGAGAAGAGATAGATGCAAACCTTCAAACATGTTTTTTTCCTAGATTGCTACATTTTTTAATATGTTTGGTTAATAGCATTTCTTTGTTACTGCAGAATAATGATTGAAATGCAAAATCCACAAAACACCACAGGTATGACCTGATAAGCCAAACCGTTAAAGTCTTTGCCTTTCAGCCTATTTTTAAAAGGATTAGGAGAAATTGGGGATTAAGTTAGTTCCATCACACACTACACTAACTCCAACTAATTATTCATGATGATAAAATACTGTTTGTTCGAGATGTAACTAAACTACGACGGAGTATTAGGGCCACACATTTGTGTGTGTATTGAAAAACACAAGTATGGATCCGGAAATACAAGTGTGAATCCTTCTGTGTGCATGAGTGTATTATGAGACTGTTCTGAGCCCATAGAAACTCATTTCTTTCGACTCCACTTCGAGCGATAGAATTAGGCTACTAACAAATAATTGCTAACAAAGCACTTATATACTAATAAAGGACTGGCTTATCTAAAGCCAGTTGAGTAGCACTTGAAATGTTGTAGCTCTATGAAACCTGATGTACTTATATGATTCTGTTTTCTTCAAGTTTGTATCTTCTTGGTCGAATGCACTTACTGTAAATCGCTTTGGATAAAAGCGTCAGCTAAATGCAATGTAATGTAGTCGGCCAGAACCAGCCATTTCCTCCTGCAGAAAGGAGACAATCTCTCCCAAATCCGCTTCTCAAGTCACTTATGAAACTACCACTTTAATCTCGTAATTATTACTTTATTCTTGTAACATTCTCGTAATTATGACTTTATTCTCGTAACATTACGACTTTATTCTCGTAACTATGACTTTATTCTCGTATTATTACGACTTTATTCTCGAAATATCTGGGGTTTTTTCTAAGTGTGGCCCTAATACTCCGTCGTACTAAACAGTGCTATATCACGCCCTCTTGTTTGCAAACCTGTGGCCTGCTGCACATGTGTACTAGTAAAGCCATGTGACACTGTATGAAACCGTTGCAGCCCTTTGACCAGAGAGGTAACCTATTGTTTACAGTGAAACCGCATTCAAGTGCTGCTGCTCCAGTGTGGAAGAAAGATAGGGCTGCCCACAGGAAAATTAATTCAGATATGCCGCAGTGAACAGCAAAATCATATGGGTAAGACTTCATTTGTATTTTTGTAGGAATATCGTATCAAGAATGAACATGTGTGTGCGTTTTACAATGTAACGTGCCCCTTCGTGACATGTTTTCGGTATAATTATAAAGCTTACAGTTGTTCTTAACTCCAGTAGAACTATAGTTAAGTGTCACTTGTTATTACAAATAATAATATTGGAGTTTAATTAGATTTACTTGTAAAATAAACACTGTCAACTGTCATCACTATCAGCCAATAGCGTCACTCCAATCGTTTGAATATTGAATATGACGTGCATTGTGATTGGCTAGAAAGAGGCGTCACATGTTGCGGAGACGTTACGCTGTCATGGTTACAATGAAAGACGCTTTGTGATCATGTTTGTGATCTCCACCGCGAGTGAATGGAGGCTGGTGGTGCGCTCGCGAGTTGCCATATGGACTATTGAATCACGGCAGGGAGATATTGCCTTGTATGTTTACGTAATGGACGTGTAATGTATACAATGTAAACTTTTGGACGTTAAGCAGCGTGAATGAAAGTACGTCGGAGTTTTTCTGGAACTTTTCACCGCTGAGAAAGGTAATTTAAAAAGTTGTCCGTACAAAGCCTCATTGTAGCGCGAGCTTCTGGGTTAGCGTAACATTGGTTTAAGATTAGCTATTTTAAACTTTATTAAAAACCAAGAAGCCACTAAGCTTCGTCAGGTGTTTCCGGTGTTTGAACATGTTTAACTCATGTGGTGAGTTGAGTATTGGAACATTTAAAAACAGTGGTTGACCAAAATCTGGTTGTCATTTCGTGTTGCTGGTGAGTAGGAAGCCAGCTGGCACTGTTTGGGGGAGTGGGTGTGGGGGTGGCCCCTCTGCAAGCTGTGTAGGGACATAAAAGCTTTCTGTGTCTTATCTCTGACATATAATTGCTAAAGTAAGATTGATAATGATTTTTTATTTCATTTAAGTAAGAGTTTAAAAAGTCACCATGCTTCATTTTGATGTTGGCTTTAAAGTGTGTGTGTGTGTATTGCAAAGTGTTTTTTTCACAAATAGTCTTATTACAAGATGTATTAATAATGCAAAAATAACTTCATAATAATCTTAATATACTATGTAATGTAAAGGTGGAAATACGAGGTCTTTCTTTGATAAATCTTCTACAATTTTGATTCTTGAATATTTGTTTAGGGTGATTTTTGAGCAGAAAAGGTTACATTTACTAGTTGTATCAAAGGTGACGATTTCCTTCTTTATTTATTGTAAAATATCTGTAAACTAAATATCTTTGTTTTGTCTTTTGGACATTATATCTGCAAACTGGTTTTATGTGTGTTCTCACTATTTTGACAACACCAAACTCAGTTAATTGACCAGGAATTTGGCAGATTAAGTAATAATAAGTGTTGGTGCACTAGTATAATGCTTTACATTTGTATTTCATCACAATGTTTCTCTGTTGAAAGCCGATAAGAAACTGAACTACTTTGCAATCCTGTGCGATAATTCTTCTATTCTAGATTTTTGTGTAATTCCATGTATGTGAAACAAACAGCTTTTCAATTGTGTATCTTCCTTTTGTTGCCCACTGTGTAGGATGACGACAACACAATAGTGTTGGCAACCTGCATGTGTTTTGGTTCCCACACGCTGGGCACCCTACAGCAAAGATGAGGATACAGGGACAGCCCGAGGGCGCGAGGAGGCGTCTGGATTTAAATGCAGCCGGGGATCTGAGGGGCGTGGAGCTCATACGTGGACGGGCAGGATATGGCTTTACTATCACGGGGCAGAGCCCATGTCTGCTAAGTGGCATCCTGGAGGGAAGCCCTGCTGACCTAGTGGGACTCAAACAGGGGGATCACATCATGGCCATCAATGGAACTGACGTGTCCACTGCTTTGCATGAGACGGTGGTGCAGTTGATTGGCAGCTGCAAAGGACCCCTGCAGTTAGTGGTGCATGTTGCAAGCCGAGTGATGGGAAACCCCATTCTTAATGACGCAAAATTTGGGATTGCCCAGAAAAATGGTATGTTCCAAAAGGCAGGTGTTCTCCGCACTATCTCATATGATTCAAGCAACTCCTCCTTCAACTCATGTCAGGCTATCAGCCCCAGACAGAGGCCGGTGTCAGAGCCTGATATGTCCCAATGGTCACATCAGTGGAACTCTTTAGCTGCGCAGCAAAATGAGGACATGTCCAGAGTGGCGGACACAGACTCTGTGTTTACAGACACGGAAGAAAATATTTCTGACTGGAGTATGTTAAACATGACCTTGGTGGTGGGCTATCTGAGCTCCACAGAGCTTATTTTGAACACTACAGGGTCAGAGGAGGACTGTTTGAAAGCCATTCGGGAGCGAATACGACTGTTGGGAACAGAGCAGAACACCCACACTCTGGTGATGATGAAAGTCATGTATGACTGTATTCGACTTTGTGACGACGCAGGCGCTGTTTTGGCAGCCTTTCCTGCTGAGAACCTGGTTTTAGGGGCTGTGTGTGCTGAAGACCCACGTTTTTTCTGCCTGGTCACCACAGCACACATAATAAATGGACGTGTACCAGAGGGCGGTCCTTTGCGGGCGTCCTGCCATGTTTTCTTCATCGACCCAGAGCTGGGGAACCATGAGGACCATACGGGCATTGCTGGACGCTTTGCCTTCGATTGCACTCCAGATCCAGACGCCTTGGGGTGCCTGGAATTCCCTCAGACCCCCCAAGATGTTCTCCATTTTGTCACAGTCCTGTACAGTGACCTGGGGGAGGCTGTGGAGAGGCTTCGAGTCAAACTGGACGTGGAGGCTCAGCAGCAAGCCAAGGAAGAGGGAAGTAATGGCAAAGAAGGCAGTGCTAGTAGCAATGGGGACAGTGGAATTGAAAATGCGTCCCCCCCTGAGGAGATAGCGGATAGGGATTTCCCCTCTGCAATCCAAAGCCCCCCTGGGACCACCCTCCCCAGCTGTCCATGGGATTATCCTCTAGCTGAAGACCTCACCCCAATAAATCTCTCCAAGAATGGCAAAAGACTGAATCCAGAGAACAGTGCCAGCACACATTCCCTTTCTGAGTCACTACCTGGCCCTGATTCTCTTCATAGATTTTATGGGGGTCCCCCACCCAGACTGGAGTTCCAGTTCAAGCCCCCACCACCTCCTCTGCCTTCGGGTAAAAAATCGAACTCCTTTGTAGACCCGCTCAGAGGAAGCCAAAGGTGGTGGCCAAAGGCAAAGTGGCCCAAAGTCCTCCACAGTGAGGCGGACCCTCAGGTGACCAACAACTGGTCCTCAAGCGTAAGCCTGGGCTCCGGGACCAATAACCTGCCCCCCCCCATGAGCCAGATCCCCTCAGACAGGTACTGCTCAGCAGAGGTCATGATGCTCCCTCCCAGAGAGGAATGGACCAAAAGGTTTCTCGACCAGAGGGAGAAACAGCAGAAAAACCATAATACCAAAAATGTGAGTAACAACTTTTATTTTGTATTTTACTGTAAAACAAACATTTCGAAACAAGAAATGTTGATCAGGTTTGCCAGTGATCTCTGTGCTCAAAATAAGTTGATCTCAGCCCCTTAAAAATAACAACATATGAATGAACTATTAACGGTTGCAAATGTCAACTGGTTGTAACTAGTTAAACTAAACAGTGTTATTTTTGTTGGTCTTGTTTCTCTGAGAAGCCTAAAAATATATTTGAATTAATCAGAACAAAGGCAAGAGTAGAAAGTCTAACAAGAACAGGATTTTGCGCCGCAGAAATACATTTGATCTGCTTACTGTTCTGTTAATCCTCTTGGGAAAACATAAGGGTGTCAACATTGTGGTCAAAAGGAATGACTTGATTCACATAATCTGGTTGGTCGGTGCCAAAACAGCCTAAACATATATTAGTAGATGCTCTGCTATCTTTGCTGCAGTTAAAACAATTAAAATATTATGGGTAGTCTCATGTTTTGATTATATTAGGAAACGTTTACCCCTCTCAATTGTCCTTACCGCAAAATAGATTTGTGAGTAATTACTTTAGAATTTCGAAAACTGAGTCTTATAATACTGCATCTATCTGTATTTCTCTGCTCTGCGTTATTGGAAAATCCTGACACACAGTGACACGAAATAGTTCCATTGTAGGACATCTGTTTCTGTACTTCATTCACGTTCAACACAGCGACACAGGAAATATTAAAATGGCCACACGGAGTTGAGTTTCCAGACACTGAGGGGGTGTACGTACGCCTGGCTCTCGTGACACCTAAAACGAAATACAATCCCACTTTTTCAACGGTCAATTGGTGCCGAGTGTGAAATGAACGCAGAAAGCACCTGTTTTGAGTCAATGATGTCATTGTCAGAAGTGTGCAGAGGGAGGGATTTTGTTTCTGCCCACAAGATGGCCCTGTGTATCCATGTAGACCTGGACATGTGGCTCCCTCAGTAAATCAAGATCAGTATGCTATGCACGCAGCGTCTCTCAATGTGTTTATTTCTGCTAATGGGGTGAATGTAATTCATTAGCAGGTATGCAAATAGGGCTGCATCTTGTAGGAAAACAATTACTTCATTGTGATTATATTGAATGATGTTGAAGTTTCAGTGTTTGAGGGAATTATACTTTTTTCCATCTGTATCAGACACAGATGTCTTATTCAGTCTGTTGAGTGCTGTTTGAAACTTCCAAACTGAAATACTTAATTTATATATTTTTTATATTTTACTTGACCAATTATTGTACTTACTGCCATCTTGATAACATTTTAATCAATAATAATCAATATAGCTAGGGTGAAACCAGTGCAGTTAGGGTCAAGGTCAGCTGAAAATCTTAATTGTTTTAAATACCCCTTACAGTTTTTAATGTTGTTTTTTCTCCCCTTGAAGTAAGTATTTGGCTGTGTTTATAAATCAGAAGCAGATTGCATCCCTGTCCCCTCAGCCTGCATTAGATCAGAGAGGAGACAATCTCGCTCAGGAAGCCAGGCAAATTACAGAGTAGAGCCCATGTCATGCAGCGGTAATTATCTGCAATTCTTAAACTCCCTTTCAAACATTAGACACGGCCTCTCCAGTCAGAGGAATAGCAGAGGCTGGTGAAAGGCAGAAACACATGGTTCTGTTCTGACTGTCTGACTGCCAAAGAAGTCCTTGTGTCTCTGTACTTTTGAAACAGGGTTGTATATGTTCAGATGAACTTAATATGACCAATCTGCATGTTGTCAGAGAGAGATGTTATCATGAATGCACATGTTTAGCGAGGAAATCTGTCAAATCTAGTGAAAAAAACGCAGAATTCCAAACCATGTTCTTCAATACCAACAAACTTCAAAGTCTATGTTTGGTTATAGTTACATTTTCCATCACTACCATCTTTCATTATCCAGACTACAGTCATAAAAGCATAGTTAACACTTAATATGTCTTGAAGGTAAAATGTGACTTTTTGAGATATGTAACTAAATGCTAATGCTAACACTTAGAAGTGAAGAACATTATTTTTGCACAATATTTTCTAAATTATTCCATGTTGTCTTTTTTGCTATCCTTTAGCGAGATGCATTATGGAGGAGTTATAAGCAATACAAATATAATTTAATGCTATTAAATTGAATTGAATTTCCCTAATTTGGACCTATTATTGTAGGCTGAGACATCAACAGGGTCCAAACTAAAAATACAAAAACAAAGATTTAAAGGATGAGGGTGTGTGTATTAGTCTTTCTGTCTTACACTTGTGTCTCCTTTATCCTCATAGGTCTCCAGGTTTTGGGGTATGGGTGTTAACCGTGCATCTAAACGCCGCTCTGTCAAACGGCTCAGCCTGGCAAGATCCCTGGATGACCTCGAGGTAAGCACTATGTTTTTATTGTATTTGTTTCCCTAGAGGTTTGAATACAGACAACTGGGTTGCTGTCCAATTTTCTGCTGCAAGCTCAATAAAGCAACACATACATTATATAAATAGACACATCATATTCAAAACAAAGCCATATCCAAACCACACACAGTTCTATTTAAGAGTAAAGCAAAAGAAAAAAAGACTTCCTACAGGATTTGCTCAACATCTTTTCAAACAGCTGACGGTAGAATAAAAAGCAGTGAAAATGCCCGGTAATCTTCCTCATTTTGGGATGGTTGGGATTCCTCTTCCTTCACTCTCCTCCTCCGTGACTCGCCATGACCATGTAACCTTTGAGAAACAGCTTGATTGGTAGACCCATCTCTACCATCCCATGGTGTATCCTGTCATGTCGCTACAGTAGCTAATGCACTTCCCTTTTTCCATAAATAGAGCCTTCATTTCCCCAGGAGATAGTACCCATCGGTTGACAGAAGTGCGTGGGGAAAGTTAGACTTGTCCAGAACCTAAATGCTGATGATGTCATATATCATAATGATGACGTGTGTGTTTCCACTTCAACAAAAGTTATTGGAAAACCATCATGTGACATTACTGTCTCCTACAGTACTGTGGACATTCAGTTGAATAACCCCCCTCCCCCTTTTCTCATTCTGCACAACTTTTTTTTACCTTTCATTTCCGTTGCCTTGAACTCTGCGTTTTGCTGCTGCACTTGTGGCATGAGGGGGGGGGGCTCACAAAGTGGTCTTTGTGTGGGCCAGAGGCGTGGTCCTGCTTGTTTGGCCTCGCTAATGAGCACTGCTGCACGCCTGAATATCGTGCTCATAATAAAGCTGCGGAACTCTGCGGTCTCTTCGTGCACGCATTACTCATGCACACTGATTCAGATTCACAAAAAACACAAGCACCAGTGGTCCCACATCTCATAATTGCTCCGAAACAGACACAAAAACAAACCGTACTGTATTTGTATACCCACGCATTAGTCACAGACACGCCCGCAGACCACGCATTGTACTCAGGTTGGTCACACACTAAACAGAACTGTTGCTGAAAAGCTCCAGATTGTGTGCAGGCCTGCCCCATGCTCAGCTGCAGGAATAAAGATGGCTATTAAAGGTTGTGACAGCTGCACAACACAACTGTTATGCCTCATTTCAATGTGGGTTTACGCAATAATTCTCCCCCTTATCTGGACTGTACATTGACATTTTATGAAACTTGCGTGGGCTACTTTGTTCGTGTCTTCTTAAACAAGTTTTGTTTTGTTTATGTGCTCCAAGTCGCTTAATGTACACAGTTCACTTTACAATCTTTTTCCGTCTCATTATATTTAGTTGCTATGGTTATGTCTTCCCAGCACTTGCAAATATGCATCTATCGAGAGTATAATTACCCCTCACTTCACAATCATCCCTACCAACTGATGCAGCTGTTTTCCACAAATGGTTTTACTTTTAAAACGTAAAGAACTGCTTTGAGCAAACTCTCATTGGCTGGGCAGAAGGTGGGATGCTTCACACTTGTTCTATTGTGTTATTCTTCTCTAATTGTGATACCTGGACACAGAAGCTGCTATGACAGCCCCAGGCTGGTCTCACATGTTTCTGTAAGTGTCAGTATTGGAGAAATAAAAGCCACTGACCTTTTAAGTGCGATGATGGGTAACAGGATTTCTGTACATTATCATGCTTGGACATGTTGGCTACCGAAAAAATGGCCAATAGACTGACTTTAAACACCTGAAGTTAGCTTAGTTTGGGCATTAATGCTTCATAAAAAGTTGAATGATGTTGTCTACTTAATGAACATTAGTGTTGTATTGAGCTGGACTTGGATTGGGATGCTGGAGAGGAATTTAGGCATACATTGTTAGAACTAGGGCTGCTCAATTAATCGTATTTTAGTCGCAATTACGATTTTGGCTTGCAACGATTATGAAAACAACGTAATCGAAATAAAACGATTTTTCTTTTTTATTGGTTTTTCAGTGGAATTATACTTAACTGTTAAAAACATACTGTTCACATTTTCACATTTTCAATAAAGGGATGTTTTCAAAGTAAATCGTTTTTAATAATCGTGATATCAATTATTGACCCAAATAATCGAGATTATGATTTTTGCCATAATCGAGCAGCCCTAGTTAGAACTGGCTTTTTAAACGATTTAGCTGTATAATCTTATCATTGTAAATATGCATGGAGCAAGCTGGAGTTATTGCTAATTGGTGGAAGTTTATCTTGGTTACAAAACCCCATTTTATAAAATAAACAGAAGAATGTTTAATTGTCTTGTACAAGGTAAACACACATTTTTAAAACACTAGTAGGGATCCATTTCTGTTCAAACAGTTACACATATGTACTGCTGTGCAAACAAAGGTGTCTACTGTTTGTTTGAACCGTATCAACTGCCGCTGTTGAAAGAGTCAAGAGAGAAGTTCAATATCCCCGCAGGGCGTATGACAAACTGTTTTGATAACGATCCTTTCAGTTGGCGGTTTTGTAAAAGGATTACAGCCTATGTCCCGATGGAGATATTTCACTGACAGAAAGATGTGTCTTTCTCGTGGACACTATGTAATAGGGCTGAACGATATACCGTGTCATGGCGATAACCGCGATATGCGCGATATTCACACCGCAGGGAAGTGCGGTTTTATTCTTTTTTTTAAAAATGCTAACGCACTTTAGCACAGAATTCAAAATAAAGATACCCTTATTACTCATCGAAACTGCACATACAATATATCCGATTAAAGCTGAGACTCCACAGATTATATATAAGCGATCCGATCTCGCGACAGGGGAAGCAAACACAGACATCACAACACGTACCTTTACGGAGCTTTTACGGGAGATCATCTCACCGTAGCTGTCAATCTAATCAAAAGACGTGTTCAATGGCATTACAACGAGAAAAAACGCGGCTAAATCGGTTGATCCATAGGTTAATAATGTATCTGTGGCTTTGAAGCAATTGTTTATAATCCATAATTCCATTTTTATGTAAAAATCGGAGCACAAAAGTTATCTGCTATTGATAGTCACCAGAGTGTATGCAGCTTCCGGTTTTGGCTACGCGTCACTCTCACTCCTTATTTGGTAATATGTGTGTTAGACTGCCGCATTGCCAAGACCGGAAGCAGCAGCCACTCTGGTGGCTACCATTAGCAGCTAACTTTTGCTCTGCGATTTTTACATAAAAATGGAATTATGGATTATAAATGAAATAATTGTTTTATACAGAGACGTTAAAAACCTATGGATTAACCGATTCAGCCGTGTTTTTTCTCGTTTGAATGCCATTGAACACGTCTTTTGATCAGATTGACAGCTACGGTGAGACGATCTCCCTAGAAGCTCCGTAAAGGTACGTGTTGTGATGTCTGTGTTTGCTACCCCTGTCGCGAGTTCGGATCACTCAGTGATGATATATATACCTAAATAATCTGTGGAACCTTATTAATCGGATATATTGTATGTGCAGCTACGATAAGTAATAAGGGTACTTTTATCTTGAGTTCTGTGCCAAAGTCCATTTTTCGCTCAAGGGTAATTTAGATGCTTCTTATGAGACTTGTGTTTTTGTTTTGGTAAAAATGGTTTGTATCGTCAGTTAGCTGAGATTATTTCCGTTAATCTGGTATAACACATGAATAGGTTCTTAAATATTAAGATCCCCTGAGACACAGTGTCGTGAAAAAAAAAGTAAAGTACCCGCGGGACCTTGGGGCTTAACAGGTTAAAAAAAACGCAATATATATCGCAGGGGAACAAAAAAATGCAATGTCAGTTTTTTTCAATATCGTGCAGCCCTACTATGTAACTATTAGGAGTGTCACAATCTCTCTTCTAAATTGAAAATAAATCAAAATTAGCTTTACATTTTGATGATAGAAATAAAAAAGAGGATTTATACTCACCTTTCGGATTTATACTCAGCTGATATATATTCAGACTACATCTATTGGAGTAAAGTGCTGTTTATGGCATTTTACTGGGGCTATCCTGGTACCACCATTGGGAATGTTTAATGGTTGTTAAAGGCAATTGGATCCTCACCTAGCACTTGCCCTTGGGCTCTTGTTTCAAGGGCAGAGCTTCACCCTGGGTTCAGGCTCAGAGCTTTGATGGTGCACTTCTAAAAGCCCCTGCTACAGCAAACTAATATATCCAATGGCATCACCAATGATGTTCTTAAAACAACTTCTATGCAGCAACGGGCAGGAAAGAGAAGCCGAATATTGAACTTCTGGCTGTGCTCTAGTTCAGAGATAATAGAGATAATGAACAATCAAGCATGAACTACTCTAAGCCGTTTAACAACTCCTTGCTTCAACATATAGTGATGACGAACTGGAAGAGTAGAAGTTGTTGGTTTTCTGCGGCACTCTAACATAGATATTGGTATGAATGCTGGTCTGAGGGACTGTTCTCATGACGGCACGTGATAAGCTGGCATTAAGTGCTGGCATCTGGACTCACAAGGACGCTGTGAAGATATTTTGGAGTTCGCCGTCAGTGCTCAGGGCAGACCCTCGTGGATAACCTCCGCATGTGGCCTCGCTGCATGTTGTGGACGAGCCCAGAACTATTTGGACACGTGCGCCCGTGTTGCTTTTTCCATGGTCTGCGGTGTGCGTCACAGCGGCTGGAGCAGGAATGAGCGAATGCTTGATATTTGTCTTCACATTACAGAGGCTCAGACACGTAGCTTTTGCATTGAGCGCGCACCAATTCGGCACAGCATATGCAATCTTGTGCTTCTTGATGCGTTTCCATTAGTTTTTCTGGTTCAGTAGAGAGGGAAACTGCTGTACAATTCTGAGTTGGTGCTGATTGGCCTTCCCTGCATATGTTATGAATAATGTTTTGACTGTCAGATTCCCCTTGTGTTTGGGCATGTACAGTGTAAGAATGTGTTTCTTTGTAGCTCCTTTTCTTATTTTGGTGCGTGCAAATGCCCCCAAGCACCACCGC